GTGAGGAAGAGTTGTTTATGGAAAGGCAAGAACCAAATTTGTAAACCCCACTGTCAGCTACACAATAATTCATGCTCATCTGCGTCTAATAAAATATGGAAGCAATTTTACAGGAACATTTTGTGCTTTAGCGATTCATTTAGCTGTTTCCTCTAGGGGGCAAGTCATATATTCTCATCCAGATGTGCGGGGAGTTCCGTGAATAAATCTGCAAATATCAAGATGAGACGCTCCCCCGCCCCCCATCCCCTGGGAGTCTAGTTAATGAAAGCATGAAAGTGGAAACCAGTGAAAGATATTCTGGTCTCCACTGTTACGGGTCACTGGACCCAGGCCACCTGAAACGGCCGAGGCGCTGTCCCAAAGTCACTCTACCTGGTCAAGCCCATCGCCATCCTGGAAGAGAGATAAGCCACTTTCCACCTCACTGGCCCCCCTAGGAATGCCACAGCTGCTACCACCCACCCCCAGGCCCACAGGGCCCCTTCACTGGGCTGCCTCTGCCTGTCTGAGCTGCTCCCAGACTCCTTGCAGATTTAAGAACTGATGAATACAAATGAGGCATGCCTGCCCAGAGTGCCTATTGCTCCGTTTACATCCTGATTTTCTGGGTCACCAATTTTTTTTAATTAAACTTTTAATTTTGAGATAATTGTAGATTCACATGCCGTTGTAAGAAATACTACAGAGCGATCCCAAGTACATTTTATTGAGTCCCCTCCTCCCCTCAGAGGTTTCAAGTTGCAAAACTGTGGCACAATATCACCAATTTTTAAAAATGTAATATTCAACCCTGTTTCCTAGTGGATAATGGGAAGTGTATTTTTACCAAATGGAGACTCTTGAGCCTCCCATTCCGACGTCTAGTTGACACAACCACCCAGTATCTCCCCACCCCTTTGGTAAAGGACACTCAGCACCTAAGGACACAGTCTGAGTCTGAAATTTGGTATTTTTCTCTTTCATCCTTGCATTCTCCCATCCAAATCCAAAATAGCAGCCAATTCCAGCAGGTTCTGTACGAAAAGTGCTGAATCCACCCACTTATCACTCTCTGCCACAAAGACCTTGGCATTAGCCACCGTCAATGCTCTTCAGCAGAACCAGCCACAGAACGTGCAGGTCCCGGGGACAAGTGAATACACAGTCTCTTGTTCAAATATTAAGAATTTCAATATGGTAGCAGCACAGCATTAAACCAAGAGAGGGACCCCTCTGTGCAGAGATCTATGAGCCCTACAGGCCCCAGCCCACAAAGTCCACCCTTCAACCAGAGAGCTCAGGAACATACCTGCAGAGACCAAAGTTGGGTATATAATGCAATGAGAGCTGCACCCCAGGGGGCCCACGGTCATCTCAGGATCTGTTACAAGATTGGGCCTGTGTTGTGTGACTTAGGGGAGGACAGTGCTCTGGATGGAATACTGTCAGGAGGTGGGGGTCATTCTTACTAGAAGGGAGGAGGGTTAGAGCTATGACTGGTAAAAAAAAAAAAAGGAGTAAACACTCATGTTGTCCAGGGTGGAAGAAATGTGGTTAACTGTGTGGTTTGTACCATGAGCTGCCTGTGTTTGTTCTTTGTTCAGACATGACATCAGACCAATCCTAGATGCCCCTCGCCTGAGTCTGTGATCTGTGCTATGTCCAACAGAATCCTTTTCCCCTTCTCACCCATCCTCTCTGGCCCAACTGCCTGCAGTCGTCTAAGGTGCCCTGTCCTCCACAGCCAAATGGTCTTGCTCACACCTAATTCAGATCACACACCCCACAGCCTAAACTACCAGTGGGAGCTGGATTCCCCCGAAAGGGCATTTCTAAGCCCAAACTTCAGTACCTGTACTATGGGGGTGGGATGGAGCCCAGGACAGGAGAGAGGAAGGGGAGCAGGAGAGAAGGGGAGGAGAGGGGGGAGGGCAAGAGAGGGGTGAAAGGAGGGGAGGGAGAGTAAGTGGAGGGGGTAAAGGGAGGGGTGGAGGGAGGGCGAGAGAGTGGAGGGAAGGGTGGAGGGAGGGAACATGAGGGAAAAGATGAGCAGAGGAGAGAGGGGGAGGGGAGCGAGGGGGACTGCGGGTGGCACCGGTTTGTTGGCATTTCCTGACATGTCTTATAAAACATTAACATTTTGCTTTGTAGGTAAATAATCCCAGGAAGCAGAAATTAAGTGGGTGGATAGAGAAATAAATTTCAGGAAGAAACGGGGCGATGAGAGACGTCTAATCAGAAGCGGAAACGAGATTGCCTCGCTCCACAGGCAGCAGACAGGTAGCTCCCAACCCAGTCCAGACCGAGGGAAGAAATCAGAGGCGGGCAGGGGTGGAAATGCGGGAAGAGACCTGAGAGAAGAAAATGCAGCTTCCGTGAGGAGCCTGCGGTGTCCAGCCTCCAGCGGCAGAACTGCTACCGCGGGCCGCCGCCTCCCCCTTGTCCGCCGACTGGCCTGCTGGACAGCGAGAGCCTCTGAGTATCGCAGCAGGGTTTTATTTACTCTATTTCTATACATAGACCAACAGCTCTCTGGGCAACCTCCTTTCCCTCAGGGGTGCCCCCCCCACGTCCCTTCCTCCCCATCCCCACTTCCCACCAAGTCTTTGGAAGCCCGGGGAGATCCTGTCCAGTCAGGTCTGCAGGTCCTGGGTGGGATGAAAGGTGAGACGGGCCTCACGGGACAGCGGGGGTCAACGGCTGGCTCCAGGCTGGCCTGGCGGAAGGACTGCAGGTAAATGGGAAAACTGACTGGAAAGGTAACTTCCGGCTGTTTCCCAGGTCTCCTAATTATCACCCTCACAAGCAATCAGGATCCAGAGTGAGGGCTGAGTCAAGAACCTTCCCTGGAGGTATCATTAGAGTTCTCCTCCACCTTTAAAAAATTTATATCCATCCATACGTTACACTTTACTGTTGATAAAAGAATTTTGCAAACATGGTTCCACCAGCTTTCACATCAGTCCTATAGGGTGAAAATTCACCCCTTTCCTCTCTGAGTGAGGGGGAGGCTGGCGGGACTTCCAGCCTGCTTGCAGCCTGCATGCTGGGGGGCAGTTTGCCTCATCAGCTTCCTGGGCTCTCCTCTCTCCCTGGGCTTCACTTCTGCTGAGTCCAGTGAAGAGGAGACACCGGCCAGACCAGCTCTCCTCGTCCTCCCACTCCTGGCCCACAGGGAGAGGACTGAGGGCAACATCCTACCTGCTCCCTCTTCTCTCAAGAGCAGCCTGACCCTTGGCCCAGGCGAGTTGGGTCTTGGGCACAGAGGGCCCATGTGCTGTTTTGCTGTCTGCTGCTGTCTCATGGACATAAACAGTTGGCCTTTGTTCCAACTCCCTAGACCTTAGAAAGAAGGAAAAGCCACGGGGGCCAGCCCAGATCATAAATTCAAGCCCTGAAATTTGGAACAAAGGCCAAGAGACCCTCTCTCTCTCTTTTTTTTTTTTTTTCATGCAACTCTTATTCTTTTCCCCTTAGCTCAAAGTGATTCTTTTCTTTTTTATAACAGTTTATTTTTACATCATTTTGTACATTTTTTTTCCATCTCAATTGTAATCCTCGCAGGTTTCCCATCACCATGTCACCCGTGTGCCATCACCAAAATCCCATGCACTTCCCTCCCCCTCCCCCCGTTTTTGATCCATTCCCCACTCCACCCCCACAAAATGAGACCCTCTCTTACTTAGGGTCCATGTCAGGAATGTGGAGATGGACAAGGCCAGAGGAGGGCATTGCTGAATTTTCTGATGTATCAGTCAGTAAAGGTTAGGTTACATTAATGCAACAGACAACCCTCAACATCTCAGCAGCAAAGGGAGAGAGAGCAAGAGCAATAGAGAGAGCTAAGGAAGAAGGGAGGGAGAGCATGAGAGGGGTGGGAAGGAAACAGGAGAGGGTTGGTTTTTCATTGTTTTTGTTGGCTGCAAGGCAGCTCTGTTTTCTTCTCTCTGTCCTCTTCATTCTAGGACCAAAGCTAAAGCAACTGCCCCTATGTGGAACATGCTGGGTTCTCTCAGAACAACGGGTTAAGGTAGAACAAGAAAATTTCTCTTAAAATGTCTGCTCTGGGTTCTCCGCCGTGGCACAACAGATGAAAGCGCAGCACTAAGAAGCTAAAGCCACTTCCGCAGGAGTTCCATTCCAGCCTGCCTGGGAGGCGACCACATGGCTCGGCAGACCTCTCCTGACCCGCCCGCTGCTCCTCCTCTCTCCCACCCCCCCCACCCCGCCCCTGTCAGTGTACTTTGTCAATCTGACTATCTGACTGTTCTACTCCCCACTCTGTCTCTCGTGAATCCTCTCACCGCCCCTGCTCCTCTGGCCTGTACCCCAATTCTGTATGCAAATAAATAAATCTTACAAGAAAAAAAAGATGACAGCCATGTGTAGACACACTTGGGGAGGCCAGGTGATGGCAAAGGCAACAGTTAGGGAGACACAGCCATGCACGAGGGAACACTAGCTACACTGGTAAAGGAACTAGAGAAAAGAGAGGGAGACCCCGCAGCATACATGTTTCAGCAGGAGCCTGCCCCTGCCAGCCCCTTCATCGTGGAATTGTAACCCCACAACTGTGAGACAATACACCCCCTTTGTGACTGTCGCTGCAGCTGGAGGACACTAATAGAGCATGAAAAGGGGGAAATCAATCCCAGGGATGAGCTGGCGCTCAACCCACTGGTGTTTAACCTACCAGAGCCACCGGGGCGCCGTAGAGATGTCCCTCCAGGACTGGGGACCAGTCCCCAGCAGCTTCTGTCTCCCAGGGGCTGAAGGGTGTCTCTGGGGTAGAGCCCACAGGTGGCAGAACTGCCCCTGCGCACAAGTGACCTCACAGCTGTCCTCAAGCTGGAGGTGACATCTCAGAGTTGGCTGGGGGATGTGGGGTAGGACAAGCACGAAGAACGTCTGCTACTCCAGGATTCAGATCCTGAGCCCCGGGTCTCCCCGAAGCACTGCCTTACTACAGAAGGGGCCACGTTCAAGGTGAAGACTCAGCGCACTCAAGAGAGACTTACCATTTGATGACTGTACGTGGGACCTCTCATGCACAGATGGACTCACACATGTATATATGTACTTGTCAGATTTCATCAAAGGGAAAAAGAGGAGAAAAGGAAAAGGGGAAGAACAGGGAGGAGGAAAGCCAGTATTATTATTGTGGCTTGCAGTGAAGAAACTGCGACACAGATGCCTGATGTTTTCCCTGGTGGCACAGCTAGGGAACAGAGGGCCAGAATTCATACTAAGTTCATCTGATTTCCAAAGCCCATAGTTCTCTTGAAAGTGATTTTTCTCCCCTTTGAAACCTGAGCAAATTCACCGTCACAAGCACACCTGATTTTTTAGAGAAAACCTCCTCCTTTTAAGGGAAGAAAGCTGGCTGAAGTATTGTTCATGCTTGTGATGCATGGCCTGAAAATCAAAGATTTACTTGTTCAAAGAAATTGCATAACCTTGGCCGTGGATTCACATGATTTAGGACTTTGAAAGTGTAAAATGAACAGGCTCAGATTCCCGATACTGATACCGCACATTCTCCCTTTTTAAGCCAGGGGAAAATGTGTAAGTTTTGCTCTTGGCCAATTTAAGGGCAGTGCTAGCTGCTGTAACAAGCACATGCCAAACTGTGCCAGGACTCAGAAACACTGCTCACTTTGGCAGTTACTCACTGCGAGTCCCAAGTGGGGGTCTGGCCTCGGCTGGTCTCCTAAATGGTCATCTAGCAACCCAGGCGCCTACCACCTCTGGCTCCTCCAAGGTCATAGTGCTTGTCTGCACCAACCCAAGGGAAAAAAAGAGAAGGCACACCTGGTTCTCATTAGTGGGACCACACCACCTTTCTTCCAAACCAGGACACTTCTGGAAAGAAAGGGGTGGTATTAAGAATTATGTCAAGACAACAGGTTTAACCACCAACTCTGGGCAGACCGGTCCTAGGATCTCCCTATTTCTTAACCACCTTGATCTGAACTTCTGATTTTTTTGCATAACAAATCATACTGAAAAGGTGGCTTCAAACAACGATCATTTCATTTGCTCACAAATGTGATGTTGTCAGGGCTCAGCAGGGTGGTTCTTGCTTGGGCCCTCACAGGCTTGCAGTGTGGGGACTGAGGTCATTGTGAAGCCTCCCATATTGGGTGCAGCACCAGGAAGACTCATCTGGGTGGCCCCTTGCCGCTGTACCTCTATGTGGTTGATGTCCAGCTGGCAGCTCCAGGGCAGCCAAAACGACACCAGGAGGCTGGATCGCCAAACAACACGTCACTAGAGGGAGAGGCAGGCAGAAGCCACATCGCCTCCTGTATCCTGGCTCAGACATCACCTGGCATCATACCTGCTTACTGTTGTTCAAGGCTGGTAGAGACCCTTTCCCAGATCAAAGAGCAAGGGCGCATCTTCCACCTCTTCATGGGAGAGCAACAAGAACAGATGGGCCCCGAAATGGTGTTGACGTCATTTTGGGGAAATTGCAATCTGCTACGCGTGGGCCCACCAAAATATAAAGGATGGGGGATGCTGGGAGCTGGAGACAGGCTGACAGCCCCTCCCCACCTGTTTTCATTTGTTCATGTTGCTATAACAGAAATACTACAGACTGGGTGGCTTCTAAACAACAGAAGCTTATTCCTCGCAGTTCTGGAAGCCAGAAGTTCAGATCAAGGCAGTGGCAGACCGATGTCTGGGAAGGACCTGCCTCTGGTTCTTGGACAGTGTCTCTTCGCTGTGTTCTCACATGGTAGAAGGGAGCTCTCTGGGGCATAATCTATAAGGTGTTACCCCATTCACAAGCACACATGACTAATCACCCCCAAGAGCCCCACCTCCATATACCAGTGCCTTGAATTTCATGGGGCACATTCAAAGCATAGTCCCAGCTCTAACCTAAGGCAGACAGGACTGTGGTGAACACTTGGCTACCTTCCCCTCACCAGTCCTCTCTACACAGCATCCCACTCAGGTCATCAGGACTCAAGAGGATGTCCAGATCCCATGCGGCACTTGTGAGAAGTGGCCCCCAGGTCGTCTGGGCAGCACCTGGCCTCCTATGTGATGAAGACCCAGGAATGTGGGTGACCACAGCTTGGTCTGGGCTGAGTGTCCTTCTGTCAGTCATCACAGGCCAGCAGTTCAGAGTCTGGGAGATTTTATTTTGAAAAATAATAGTATTGTTGGTATCTAAAAGTTATCATAATTAAATGAATGACTTTGTAAATGGACCATGGGAGGCATTTTAAATTTTCAGTTTAAAGAAAATTGACCAACTGCTCGGATTCAGTTGGAATCCCATGAAACTGCAGCAAAGTACAAATTGTGCTTCCCAATGCCAGGTACGCTACTGTGTAGGAGAGGAAACAGCTTCTAGAAGGTTCTATAAGGACCCTTAGCTGCACACCTAGTAACCCTCCTGTGCAGTCACTCGAGGCTCCTTACCCAGGCTCAGCATACAACAGTCACTTTCCAGCCACTTCTGCTCCTTCCTTAAGTTCTAATCACATCTGTGTCACTTAGTAGGCGTGGTGTTTAGTTCTGTTTTTCTGGAGAAACCTAATATAATTTTATTTTTTGTGCCAACAAATCTTCCTTTTAAAGAGGGTTTTTTTCTCTTCTCCTTCAGCTTATTATCAGTCTTCTATAAATATTACAAGGCAGGAAGCAATTAATTCACCTGCAAGAGACAGGGAATTCCTAGTTGGAGATCAGGCTTTCCCCTTCTTGTTTAACTAGAAGTTTCTATTGAGGGAACCATAAAAGTGACAGCAGTTTTCCAAAAACATCTGACATGTATCCCAAGGTATGAAACAAAAGTTCTCTCAGGCAAACTGAAGTCAGTGCTCTTCAAACTACATTCTAATGAGAATGTCCAGGAAGACAGCTTGCCCATTAAGCATTTACCTTGAGTAAATGAAAATTCCTCAATGAAATCCTTGGGCCCTGCCCCTCTTGGAAGGCAGAGCTTCTGTGACTCCTGCCCCCTCCTGACACCTTCAGCAGGTCCTGGGCTTGATGGGCAGCCCACCAGGGCCTAAGACCATGTGAGTCTCTTCCCAAATCCTCTCTTAGTAGCTCCATGTTGGTAGTTTGCAATCAGCCTTGCTCTTCTAGGAAACTCATCAGGGTAAGACCATAAGGGACTGTGAATGAAAGAGAGCGCGATGCCTCCAGACCCTTGCAATCCCAATTCCTTGTCTTTGGGACTTACGGCCCCATGTTGCAGTAGGTGGGCCAAAACCTGCTCCCTGGAGCTGTCCTCACCCCCCTTTGGTCCATACAAGCCCGCATGGTTCCCCAACAGCTGAGCCAGCCAGACCCAGGAATCAAGAATCTGGATCCTGAATGTCACTGAAACAGACTCACACCAACAATGGATGGTGCTAGAGACTGCTTCATCAATGCCTGGGACCTCAGGTGTGGTCCCGGTAAGGAGCAGTCTCTCAGCTTTTACCAACAGGAGCTTGGTTGCAAGGGGCATGTGGCCCAGGAGAGCTGTAGCCACAGATGCAGGAGAGCCTTGGAGCAGGCATCACAGGTGAGGTCACCTTGCTGGATAAGACAGGAGGGACAGGCTCAGGTGAGAGGCAGGCTCAGTCCAGAGCCACAGGCCCATGCAGGCCCCACGCTTGTCTGTCTGTGCACCTGCCTGTCAGGCTGCCTAATATATCTCCTACAGATGACCATTCTGACGACTCCACATGTACATGTCTGTTTGACATGTGCTGAAACACCTGTGGACAGGCCTTGTGATGCCACAGTGGCAAGGGGCTGTGGGCCTCCCATTTCCAGGCAGCACAAGGCTTTGAAAACTCAGCCATGTGTCCATCACTCCCACTGCTACATACAATTCTGTGTGTACCCAACCACTCCCCTGCGGATACCTCCAATCCCCGGTCACAAACATTGGCAGACCTGTGTGGGCACATATCAGGTCAGAGCCAGGTGCTCTGGGAGTCTGAACCCTGGGCATGTCCTCCACGGATGTGGAGGTGTCCTTTTCTCACTTGTCGGTAGGGCATGGTTGGAGCAGGGCAGGTGGATGAGAACACACCTGGAAAAGCTGCTATTCCTTGTCAGAGCACATTACTTCCACTCCAGGAAGGAGATGTATGAATCAAAGACAAGGGATCACCCAGAAGTCTGTGCACTGTGAGTAAGAACTCCCCCGTCCAGCTCAGTCTCCATTAGGAGCCAGGTGGAAGTGAGAAAAATGCCTGTTTCTAGAAAGTTGAATGGCATTTGGATTCTCAACTAAGGAAGGAGTTATACCTCCTTAGAAAGGATCCAGCAGGGAGGCAGGTCCTGTGGGTGATGGGATTAAGAGGGAACGGCAGTACACTGGGGATAATCCTGCACAATCCTCAGAGGGACACATAATCATCCCAAGGTGGGTTTGAATCCTGTGGGGGCTTCAGGCGATAGCTGGGAGATGGCACCCCCAGCAGCCAAGGCAAGTAAACTGTCTGTGGCACCACTCGGCAAGCCTGCACCTGGAAGATCACCTGCTCCTCAGGTGGGGCCATTTGGAAGAGCATCTGGAGCAGCCACAACAGCCAGGCAGATGCACAACTCACTTCTCCCCGTTATCGTCGCCTGTGGGAAGATTGCAGCCCAATTCACTGTCAACAATAAAAGCCAGCAGTCTCCCAATCTGTCCCTTGTCCTCAAAATATCTGTACTGACCGGTTTAAAAATTGTTACCCTCAAGAAGTGCATTTCCCTCCAACAGCAGAATTTTTAATTTAGGAAAGAACTGACTTAGTAGGTCTGGGCACAGGGAACTATGACCAGAATTTCCCTCCAACATTTATTATACAACTTCTCAAACTTAATGAAAAATTTAAAGAATTTTACAGAAAAATACTCACATATCCACCCACTCTCCAGAGTCTCCAATTAACATTTTTATTATGCTCACTCTTTCAATAGCTACTCAATTACCCATCCTTCTCCCTAGCCGACAATCTTATTTTCTGAATGCATTTGAAAATGAGTTGTGACATCAGTGCATTTCAGCCCTAAACACTTAGGGTACATATATTATTAACTAAAGTCCAGTATTTATTTACAGTTCCTTGTTTTTTCCTTTTGGGTGAAATACGCATACAGTGAAATGCACAGATCTTAGGTGTAGTGCTCCATAGATCATGACAAATGCATTTGCCCGTGTTCCCATCAAGACAGAACAGCGCCATTACCCCCAGCAAGATTCTGAAACAGAGCAAACCCAGGGGGAAAACACAACTCAGAAGCAGACACATGAGGGAGACAATAACAGCAGGATTCATTTACTTAGGGAGTGAGAACAGAATTCATTTACTTAGGGACCGGAGTCAGAGAACAGTTGGGCCCGCGTGTTGCCACGTGCAGCCTGGTGCGGACAGCAAAGACCAAGCAGGAGCTGCCATCCAGGGGACAGCTGCCCCTCTCAGCAGGCAGGCTGGGACATGGACATAGGGCCCGTCCTACCAGCAAAGCAGAGGGCAGGAACCCAGGGTCTAACCAACCCCGTCCACAAAGAGATAGTTCACTGATCAGAGTCAAGGTGCTGAGACTGGACATGAGGCAGAGAGGAGGCCTGGTGGCCATGGGCAAAGAGGCCTGGCACTGGGAGTGGAGTGCGGGCCAACACAGCCCACCAGGAGGCCCACCTGCATTAGTCCTCACGGCAGCTCTGCTACTCCCCTCACTCCCAACAGCCCCTGTTCAGGAAGCCAGCAAAGGAGTGCAAAAAGCTCACCTGCCACCTTCAAATGCCAAACTGCATTGGGGGATGTTGTCTTTGGGGTCACAGGGAGGGCCAGGACATCCAGGAAGGCAGCAGGTCTGCTCACCACACTGATACGGTGCAGTGCGAGGGCACAGTGGCCACTGGCTTCCGCACATCCAGCCCGATGGTGTCCCACTCCCACCTAGTGGCGGTGCCTCAAACTTCTGCCCCAGCCAAGCAGCCCATGGCCAACCCCCAGCATCTGCGCCCCGGCCTGCCCATGCAAACAGTGTGTGCCTGCATGGCGCCATGGAGCACCTCGCTTACCACGCATGCGCTCCTGAGCAGGAGCAGGCCCGGGCTGAAGCCACCCACCAGGCAGGAGTGCATGCAGGCGACAAGCAGCAGGCTGAGTGCAGTCACTGCACTGCAGTCCCAGGCAGTCGGGGGACCGGTAGCTGCTACGGGAGCTGGAAGCCCCAGGACAGGGCCTGGAGGGCCAGAGCCACTTGGGTTCCCATCCCACCAATGTGGAGGCCACTCCTCCGATCATTTCTCTGACCCCTTCCCAGTCAACCAACCTGCCCCTCTAGATTGAGTTAAATAGAATTATAAAGCATTTACTCTTTGGGAGAAAGCAGCATCAGAATTTGCAAGGCACTCCTGGTTATCCTCGGGGTACGTTAGGGCCCAGGACCCTCTCTTATCTTAAACATGAGGGAACTGGGGTGCAGAGCAATTTGGAATCAGGTCACAGCTAACAGGCTACAGATCCAGACTAAAATTCAGGTATTGTACCCCTGCTATTAGCCTATGTACTGGGTGATGAGAGGGTTTCTGAATAGTGTTTCTCAAACTAAAGCACCAGCAGAATCCTGCAGAGCTGGGTAAATCCCACAGGTCTTGAAAAAACCCAAAAATCTGCACTTCTAACAAGGTCCCCGATGACACTGACGCTGCTGATCCAGGCCCAGAACTGAGAATCACTGTCCAGAAAGGTGTAAAATACACGGTTGAAAGCAGTGCTGTCACTCCCACAGCTGGCCACAGGTGACCACTTGGCGGTGGCGTGTCAGCCTCGCTGACTTTCTCAAGATCCTTCTAGTTGGCAGTCACTGCACAGGTCTCCACTGTGTGCGTATTTTAGCAAAAGTCTGCTCACTCCACTCATTCTCTTATTAATTAAAGGAGGTCTCCTCTCTCGACTGAATCATTTACACATGATTTCAACCAAAGCCAGAGGCCCCCTCCCTTTGGCCTGCGTGATCTGGAGGTTTTCAAAACCCGCAGTTACATCCAGAAGCAGGAGCAGCCCAGTGCAGAGCTGCCCCCCAGGACAGAGCCCCTCACATGCCTTATGGGCAGCATGGGGTGAAAGAGAGGCTGTTTGGGGAATGTGCCATACATTTTTTTTGTAGCATTTATGGGTTGATTTTAACACGTGCTTAGGAAATAGCAACCCCCTGAATTTACACCTGCTAGATACAATTTTAAGTTTAAATGGTTTCCCTTTAAATAAAGTTAAGTTTAAAGAGGAATTGATCTAAGGAGCTAATGACACACCTCAACAAGCAGGACGTTAGGTATGTGGCTAAGTGAAGGCCCAGGAGGCTGAATGTGGGCTGAGAAATGCTGGGCCAGGAAAACGCAGGCTGTGGAACCTGGAAAACGCACATCCTATCAGGAAACTCTCACTTTTCCTGCAAGTTTTCAGTGATTGCACTAAAACATAAAAGCAACTCTAGTTATTTTTTCATTTGTATTTTGTGGCTTATTTTGCATATTATTCTCCATACCTTAAGAGAATTTGCTTATTTTCTTTAAAATTTGTGAATTAACCTACTTGCTACCATTTTAAAGTATGATTTTATAATATTTTGAAACTAGTATTCTTTTCCTTGAGGAACATATTTTCAACTTTATAATGAAAGTCAGCTGGATATAAGATTCTGCATATTGAAAATTACTTTAGAGACAATTTTCAATCTTTTTTTACTTATAAATGAGTTGTGTTCTTATTAAAAAGCAACTTGATTCAATTATGTTGATTCCTTTGTTTATTTTACACATCATCTCTCTCCATATAGGTTTGAGACAACTCTAGCAAGAACACATTTGATAAAATAAAAATGTATAAAGTAAGAATGGAAAGTAAAGCAGAAGGTGAGGGGAGGGGAAGTAAAAAAAGCAAACGTGCAGGTTCTACAGACTTGAGTGGGTTATAGTTGAGTTTCAAAGTTGGCTCTGAGTTTCCTGGCCACTGAGGAGAAAACAGACAAACTCTTTGCATAATTTTAATTTTGGGAAAAGAGGAAGTAGCAGCAGCAAATCGACTCCTCAGAGAGCCTGGAGCATTTCCCAGAATTTAGCAAAATGTGAAACTTACTAGGATGGAGGGAGCATTCGTGACTGTAACGGATCATGCACTTGACATCCCTTAAGCCAAGAGAGCAGAACAACCTCCGTGACACTACCCAGGACAAACTTCTATAACCAACGAACACGTTGTATGATATTAAACTGTTGATAGTCTTGTTCCCTCAACAGCTCGCAGATGTATATGATCCCGACTCCATTTCATCTATCCTCCCACTCCTTGTGCATTGGGGCCGAGAGGAACTTTAAACTTCCAGGGCCACAACTTCTGATCTTTCCCTCCCAAGCTTGCATCATCTCACCCTCATTTGGTGGCAATTCTACCCTCTTATCTGATGAGGCCAAGAGCCTAGACTCTCTCCCATCTCCCACCCACTCTCTTGGGAAATGTCATGATTCTGTCAAAAACTATCCAGGATCTGAACACCTGGCCACTTCTCGCCACACCTATGGCACCGCCCTCCATGAGCCCCCAGTAGCTGCCACTGTTCTGACTGCTAATAAATCTCTCACTTCCATCTTGCCCTCCCCGTTTACTGTCTAGCCTCAGCCCAGATGCCAGACTGATGCTCTGAAAAGTAGATCGTATCATGGCATGTTTGAGTCCAAATAACCATAACGGCCCCTGCTTCACCTCCGCGTCCTTATCTGCCCCCTCCCTTCTGTGGCCTCACCCCGCACTTTGCTCTGCTCACACGGCCTCTGTGCTGCTCCTTGAAGTCATCACACTCACCTTCCGCAACCTCCGGGTTGTGCCCCTGTTTGCGACACTCTTCTCCAGCCTCCAGCGCGGTTCCTGCTCTTCAAACACCCTTCTCGGTGAAGCCTACCTGGATGGCTCCTTTTAAAGTTCTGTCTTCCTTGCCTTGTACCCAGCCTCACCCTTTCAATCCCACTTACCCTGCTCAACGTTTTCTCTTCCCTGTGGCGCTAATCTCCTTCTGCAATCTCTATTGTTTAAGGGCTTATAATTTATTTAGTTCCTGCATTTGTCAGAAGAGCCAAGATTTTGCTGTGGTTAAATACATAAATAAATAAATAAACTCCAAACTTAAGGCTTTAAAGCTCAAATGCTGATTTCTTGCTCGTGATTCATGTCCCAGGGACCTGCGCTCACTGCATAAGCTCCCTCTGAAATGTGACCTGTTTCCATGGCAGCGAGCAGAGAGAGAGCTCTGGAGGGTCCCACACAGGGAAAGTTAAGGGGCAGTTAAATGTTCTGGCCAGGAAGTAACATCACTTCTCATAACGCATGGATTAGAACTGGCCACAGGCCTTCTCCTTTACTTTCACCACAAAGTAAAGTTCCACCAGCAGGGGGAGAACTGGAATAATCTAGAAGACTGTACAGTGGCTACTCTGGTTTGGCCAATGTTTTGCCTTTGCCTTCCCCTCCACAAGGTGAGTTTCACAAAGGCAAGTGTCCCTAGCTCCTAGAACAGTGTCTTGCACGTTGTAGGTGCTCAGAAAAGACTTACAGAATGTTACATGTTTAGAGTCATCTCCGAAAGGGGAAGCCAGGACTTAACAAGCCCCAAATCAAACTCATAGATTGCAAACGTTCAAGAAGGAGGTTCTTTTTTTTTAAGATTTCTTTATTTATTCATACAGAACTGGGGTACAGGCTAGAGATGTGGAGGGTGAGAGGCTTCACCAGGGACAGAGTGGGGAGCAGAACAGGCAGATCGACGAAGTACACTGCTGAGGGGAGCAGCGGGCGGGTCAGGAGAGGTCTGCCCCGCCATGTGGTTACCTCCAGGGCAGGCGGGGATCAAACTCATGCAGAGGTGGCTTAAGCTTCTTAGTGCAGTGCTTTAACCCGCTGCACCACCAAGGAGGCCCAAGAAGGAGGTTCTTAATCTCTTCCTGTGCTGTTCTTGAAAACCATGAAACTATCTTCAAACTTTTCCAAGGAAGAATCCTTTGGCTTTCATCAGACTTCCCCAGGTTATTTCTAAAACAGACCAAGAAAACTGACTCAGGAAGGTACAATGCCAGGAACCATGAGCAATATTAGCTAGGAAGTAAAGAACAACACCTCGCCAGGCCTGAGCCTCCTCTTGCACACACGGGCCTGTGCCTGGATCAACTGAGCAGGTGTGTGCCACAGGCTGCGGCCTCACACAGCTTGGCTCCTCCACAGGCGCTCACCTGTGCAGCCAGCGCGCCATCTAGTGGACATACTTCAGTCCTGGGTCCCACGAGGCAGCTGGCTCTCCCCAAAGTTTAAAAGGTTCCACATCTCTGCAAACCACAGAGTGAAACAGAACCTGGCCTTCCCTGAACCCCAGGGCCATGTTGCATGAGGTCATCATCTGTCATTCCACACCTACCTATCCATACTTCTGATTCATGAACAGCAACTGGAGATCATTCAGGAGGAACAAGACTGGACAAGTAAGTGGAGAGAGACACAGCATTGAAAGAGGTGCCAATCAACTGAGGAATCAAATTATCAATGCGACATTTTAGAAAGTCTAGTGAAAAAAAAAGTCCTTGATGACAAAATAGCCATAGTTCAAGTAAAGATGGGCTCCGTCTGTCTTCCTGATCTCCTATCTGCCTCAGGCTCCAGCCAGGCCTGGCCCTAAGAGAGCTCTGGAGGGACGAGGAGGCCACACTAGCCAAGTGGCCAAGTGGTCAGCCTGGGCCAGAGCCGGGGACCAGCAGCACACCAGAACCGAGGATTATGTGACTCGAAAGAGGACAGCCAGTCCCATTCCCAGTGGGGGCTCTGTGTGGATCCAGCAGAGGTTGTTACATCTCTCTGGGATGTGAGGAGGCAGGGCTGATACTGGGGGCAGGAGGAGTTCAGGACCCCGCCACTGAGCCTGCCCTCAAGGGGCCCACCATCTTTTATTTGAGCGAAGCATCATCACATGTCACTCCATGACATCTGGGTCAACAGCAAAACATACGTGATGTTGGCCAGTGGTCCCCGTGTATCACACCTACAGCCTAGTGTGTCACGGTGCTCTCACATGACTGGATTAAGGTTTAGCAAACTGCTGCAGAGCGTCCTTTCCCCGCATGCCAGGGACGCACCTGCAGCTCCTGATCACAGTCCTGAAGCGACAGGGGAGTCCCCAGCCCTGAGATACTCTGGTCCCATTACAGACACGTCGCTGCACAGAGTTGGCTGCAAGGCTTTGGCGTCCTCACCCTGCCGGTACAGGCTCCGCCTAGCTGGTGAGATTTACCTCCAAGGTGAACAGAGCTGCCTCCCTTAATGATGTCACATCCCGCCCAGCTTCATCATCGGTGTCACTCAAGGGTGAGCTGCTGGTCAAGGTGAGTCAGGAGTGACCCACCCAAATTGGCAAGACTCTCACTCTAGGAATGACCTAGTCTTGGGAGAGTGAAGCTGGAGTGAAACTCTACGTAGAAGCAAACATAGCAGCTGACTCGGGGGGCATCTTAGACACCCCAACTCTCACGCATTATCTAGCAGCCACCTCCATCAGTGCCACAGGTGTACAGCTCATCGGGTCCCATTCTCAAATGAGAAGAGACTTAAAGTGGGCAGTAGTGTCACCGAAGGCATTAGGGAAGCAAGTGCCAGCAGACTTTGCTGGCTGCTTGGTGGCAGAGGCAGTAAAATCAGGCTGGGAGCACTCATTCTTTTTAAAAAAAAAAAAAGATTATTTATGCATACTGAACTGGGATATAGTCAGAGGTGCAGGGGCAGTGGGAGGCTTCACCAGAGACAGAGTAGGGAGCAGAACAGGCAGATTGACAAAGTGCACTGCTGAGAGGAGCAGCGGGCTAGGCAGGAGAGGTCTGCTGCGCCATGTGGGTCACCCCCAGGGCGGGGATCAAACATGCACTGAAGCCGCCACTGCTCTGCTTAGCTTCGCAGTACAGCGCTCCATTTCCCTGAGCTGCCAGGCAGGGCCCTGGGAGCACTCATTCGTAAGGTAGGAGGGGGAAGCAGGAGGAGGGCAAAAGCCACAGGAGTCTTTGGGTAACTGAGATTCCTCCATGCAGCCCAAACCGTAGCCTGTCTTGGGAGCCCCCAAAACTGTGTCCCCCAATCAGCGACCTGGGAGCCCCTGGTGGCCCCAGGAACAGTTTTCCTCAGTGTTCCCCAGTCAACAGACACATCTAGGGCTTGTCCCCTTCTCCACCCTTACAACTGCTAGAGGTCAGTGACTCAGAAGGGTGGGCCACCAAGAACAAGAGAGAGATAAGGCGGGGTCTGGGGAGATGGAAGACAAGTGTCATCCTGCAAATAATAATAGCAATAGCAATAATAATAATTTTAGAAACTTGAAATGACCCTGCACAGCAGTGGCGCAACCTGTGAGGGGTGTGGAAATTGCATGTGACTTTACAGACCAGGCTGAGAGCCTGAAGGTAGAGATGGCAGAGCAGCCTGCCCCTCTCAGCTGAGCTGCAGTGTCTGTTGACAGTGATATGGAATGAACTGGAAATCAAAGGCAGCCTGCAAGGGGGGAGGGGGCAGGCTGTAGCCTGAGAATGTGCCCCAGGCAGGACCTTCCCTGGGCCTCCCGTAGGCAGCCCCAGCCTCCCCAGGCCTCCTGCCCTGTAGTCCCAAGAGCAGGGTGAGAGCTCAGCCTGCACAGCTGCATCTCACCCTTGGGTGCCCCACATAAGTGGCTATATTCCAGAGCTGGGCAGCTGCACCTCCTGAGAAGTGCTGCAAGGGAGTGCATGGCCTTTGGGTCATCAGGAGGACTGTCCACTCCTATGCCTACTGATCAGACGCAGTCCCCAAGGACATGACGTGACCTGCTCCAATTCCCACAGGGGTCATCATTTCTGAGCCAGACACCATATTTGCCAGACCTATGGTCTGATGTCCTTCCCACTACATCGGGTACAGTTGATCCCATGTCAATGGCAGCAGGAGATTCCTGTCACTAGGTCCTGTGGGAACAGGTCCCACAGCCTCGGGTTACCCCAATGTTGATGTAAGGCTGAAAACAGCCTGGAAAGATTACAAGGCACAGATGCTGCCCATTTTCCCTGCTGCTGCTCCTACTTAGAGGAAGAATCCACCAAGTTGACACAGAATCTGCTTATAACCCAACAGCTAGCTCCTTCAGGATGGGGGAAATACAGAAACAGATATTTTTGTTTGCTTAATATCAAAGATCCAAATGCTTCACAACCTAAAGAGGTAACATTTTGTGCCAAGATCTCATCTCCTTTCATGTTTGGATGAAAACCCCGGCTATAGGAGAAATTTTCCAAGAATTATGAGCTCAATTGCAGGCCCAGAGATGGATCATGATTTTAACTAATAATAATGTATGAGTACTTTCCCAATACTAGGGACCTCTGGGGATATTGGCATTGTTGCTGTTTAGGGGAACAGTGACTGATTCAAAAGCAAAGTGGAAGATTTATCTTAACAAGTTTCTAACTTGCCAACTTTGAAAAATGATTCAGACATGTATTTCTCGGAAAAGTGGGTGTGAAATTGTTCTTTGATTAAAGTGAAATAAAAGTACTTTTAGAAAGTGGCCTAAGGATAAACACACAGACATGAAGGAATTTTCCAAGAGAGCCCTAATTTTAATAACATTCTCCCCTCTGGTCTCCATAATTATATTTTTGTTTGGCAGTCCATGGATCTTCTTGTTTGATCTCCAAAACAGGGCCATCCCCGAAATGAAGACACTTTGATGTGTTAAAAGTTTCAAGAACTGGCTCTCCCTAGTGGTGTAGGGGGTTAAAGCACTGCACTAAGAAGCTTAAGCCACTTTTGCATGAGTTCAATCCACGTGATTTCAACACAATCTCAAATTCTCCCAGATTTTAATGACAATATATGTCACTTAGGAATGTTTCCACTGCAAAGAACAGAAAATCCAGTGCTCATTCATCTTATTGGGGTCCCTTTCTCTCTCCACACACCAACCTCAAGTCTCAGCTTACGGATATTCATCGGTTGCTTTGAATTTGCAAGATGGCAGCACTTTCTCCACATCTACTTTCTAGGAAGCTATCAGGGGAACAAGCAAATGGCTGCCTGAAACTACACTTTGCAGCATATCCTTGCTACTTCATTTCTTTGGCTAGTTCTGTATATATTTGCCTCTCCTCTCTCCAAGAGAGCCCAGAAAAAACACATTTTTTGCCCTCCACACATGATAGAGAACAGGGGGTAATGAGTACCCCTTCTTA